AAGCGCCATCTTGCCGCGGGAAATCTTGTTGATGCCGCCAGCCCTGTCGGCCGTCTTCAAAGCGAACATGGCATCCGGGCCGAGGGGTCCGGCCTGTTCCATACCAATGTCCATCGGCGCCGTCATGTTCATCTGCATGCGCACAATGTCCTTTTGCTTCTTCTCGTTCTCCTTCCTCCTCTCCTTCTTCTTCTTCGAGTCGTCCTTGTTCTTGAGTGCCTCCAGCTCCTGTTGGATCCGCAGCTCCTCGTCCATCGACTCGACCTCTGCGACCTCCTCGCCCACCTGATCTTGCAGGGACTTCTTCTCTTGCGTTGTCTTCTTGGTCGGGAAACCGAAGATTTCTCTAACCTTGAGACGCCATTTCAACAGCTGCTTGAACTCTTTCCTTCCGAGAACCTTCAAATCTGCGCAACTCCTGCGGACCTCGTCTGTCGTTTCAGGGAGCTTGTCAAGCGCGGCCAACGCCACGTCTCCGTTGGCGGGCTGATCAAAGGACAGCTGATTGGTTTGGCCAAGAATCGCAATGGGATCGGCCGTTTGAATGAACTCGCTTGCCGAAACGACCTTGTGCTGCGTGTAGTCACCCTCCTCGTAACCCTCACGTTTGCGCTTCTTCTGCTCCGGGTTGTACACCTTGGCCTCGTTGTTGGGAGTCGCGTCCTTGAGCTCGGCAAAGACGGCGCGGGGGTCGAGGAATCGGGGATCGATGCGCTTCGGGGCCTTGAAGCCCTTGCAGACGACGAAGATTTCGGCAGACACGTTTCTCGAGGAAGGGGGCTTGGTCGCCTCGACCTTTGTGAAGAGCTGATTGAAGACCCACAGCAGGGGGTTGTAATCCTTGGATCGGAAGACCTTGGTGACAAAGGTTCCGCCCTCTGCCAAAAATTCCGTCGCAAGCTTCATCGACTGCAGCACCAGCTCGGCCTGGTTGAACGAATCCTGGTTCCACGCAGTACCGACGTTGGGCGCACCATCGTGAAGAACACAGTCTGCCTTCCATGTCTTGAGATGCGATCGGATCGTGGCTCGACATTTCTCGGTCGTAATATCGCTTTGGAAGGTGATGACCTTGGGAATTGGCTTGATGGGCGACAAATCGACACCGACAATTAGAGCACCGACGGGGCACGTTTCCGCTGCGACTTGACACCATGACTGTGAAATATTAGCAAGGAATCATGCGATTGAGTTATCCTTCACGAGGGTAGGCTTACACCGGGCGCAGCGCAAAGATCGACGACGACCTTGCTCTTCTCCAAGAAGCCATACTTCTTGTTCAGCTGGATCAGCTTGAACGCTGCTCTGGCGCGGTATCCCTTCTCTTTGGCAAGCTTGTACCACTTATCCAAACGTCCTTTTCCGTGCTTCTTCTGGATCGCCATCTTGTCTGAAGGGCGAGGCCAAATCGAGATGCACGGGGAATTGTTGCGGGAGTTGAGAAGCTCTTCTGCAACCACAGAGCGTCCTTCTCTGCAGGATTATCGATTTTCGGACCCGCCCCGCCGCCTCGACTTTCGCAACGTCCCTTCTCTCAGAATTTTTTTTAGCGGAGCAGCAGGGGAGCGATAAGAATCACGTGGAGATACCACTAGCGCATGGCAATGTGGGGGACCCGCGCTCGGTTCATCGGATGGAATTGTCAATTCCATTAAACATTCTCGAGTGGGTCTCCGCGTTCACCACGCGCACCGCGCCGTCGTCGCGTAGAGAGCTGCGCTAGGGTCAAGAGGGAGTCTCGATTGGGCAAGTAAGACGTCAAGAGCTTTACCTACCATAATTAGATACCTAGCTTCAACCCTGACTATTCAAATTCGGCCATCACCACCCCCGCCTGCCGGACCATACGCTCTCTTCCTCTGCCCTCAAAGACGTTTCTGTCTGTTATCTGTTTCTTTTATACTATTAGGTAGCCATTGAGTCTTGAGCCGAATCGTCATCGTCATCACCACCTCCAGCGTCATGGTCTATCACGGCGGCATGGCCAGTCCGCCACCGAGCGATGGCCTCGTTCCGGCATCGTCTCCTACCTTCCCTTCCTCCCCGCCGTCACGGATGTCTCGAAAGGAAAAGAAGAAGTCCATCTTAACGCCCCGGAAGTTTCGTCGTTTCTTCACCCCCCGCGGGATGCCCTCACAGATATCCCGGGAAAGACCAGCCCTCGGCGAGCTACGCAGTACGGCACTCAACGTTCAATCAACGCCTCCACGATCCAGCCCCCGCTTCAACGAACCGATATCACCCACTTCGAATCACAGCAGCAGTGTACTTTCCCCTTTTGGCAGCGAAGATGGCCCGAGGAAGCGGAAGCGGAGCGTCGTCAACGCTATACCCATGAAGTTGCCACAGCCGGGCCGGGGCTTGAACACGAAGCGTTCGAGGACGCAACTGGAGGACTTGGAGGAAGACTACCCTCTCGGCCGAAGCCCTATCTCGAGGTCACCGTCGCAACGGGATGAGAATGCCGGTTCCGAGGATCACCCTATGGGTTCGCCTGAGATACTCTCGCCCTCGGCTAGTCACACGGCAGCTCTGGGCAGAACGTACCCGACAGGACCTCAAGTTACACCAGACGAGTTCGCGCGGAAGCTTAGCTCCTTGACTGCCAGCAACTTTGCGACCTCGGGATATGAGGGCCTTCGGCCTAGGTCTACGCTGATTGACTACTTCAAGTGCAACCGGGCAGGGGTTCCCGCTTCTAGTAGAGGAAAGGCTGTCAAGACTCTCACCAAGCTTCCCCTGCCGCCAAAGGACAAGCCTGTATGTTTGATTCCTAACGACTTACTCTGACTAGACTAACATATCCCAGATCGTACCAGAGTACCGGCCGCAGCCCGTGATCAAGCTCCGCAACCGGGGCTTTGGTGCTCAACTGCTGCTCCGGGAGCAGGGCAGCACACCTCGCCCCGGGCGTGAGCATCTCGAGTATCCTGCGTTTGGTAAGTTGCCCAGTTCTCTAGACAACGACTTACAACTGACATCGACAGACTCGAGAGCAAGTACGGCATCCTTCTGGAGCCGAAGCACCGACGTCCACATGTGCAACGCGCATCTGACGCAAGCGAATACTATTCCTTTCAGTCTAGCAAGTTGTCGCAGTGAGTGTACCCGAAACCTCCTCCCTGAACTTGAACTAAGCCTTGCAGATGCCCCAATGACGGCAATTGGTGACGAAGAGGGATTCATCCGCTTCTTCGACACCACCACAACCCCCTTGGGAGCGGCACCTCGTACAAAGGTTGATATTGTCATCCAGGCCCACGAAAATGCCATCATGGACCTCGCTTTTTCCAATGACGACCTGCGTTTGGCAAGTGCATGCGGTGACCGCTCCGGGAAAATCTTCGATGTCATGTCGCAGACGGTGGCGGTGGAATTGAACGGCGGTCACTTCCAATCGATGCGTCGTGTGGAGTTTCAGCCCGGCCAGGCCAACGGAAACGTTGTAGCCACGTCGGACCGCGACGGAAAGATTCAGATATGGGATTTGCGATGTTCCATGGCACCGGCCGCTGCCTTTTCCACTCGCGGCCCGGAAGGGATCGTGCACCGCGACAGAGACCGCAACCCTCTGTGGGCCCGAACGACCAATACACTCGACAACGCCCATGCTCGTACGATCCATGGAGTCACATCACCGGCGTCTGTCACGGCGCTGCAATATATGCCGGAAGGCCGTGAGCACCTGCTTTTCTCCGCCTCAGAGGCGAATGCCTGCATCAAGCTGTGGGATACGCGGTACATCACCCCGCGCAACAAAGAGGCCGCCCCCCTAGCTGTGACTGCCGAACCGGCAACCCACCGCTGGCGGCCCTACGGCCTTACTTCTCTGGCCCTAAGCAGTGATGCATCCCGCCTGTACGCAGTGTGTAAGGACAGTACCATCTACGCGTACTCAACCTCGCACCTCATGCTCGGCCACGCTCCCGAGCTTTCACTCCGACCACCGCGCCAAAGGGCCGGCTCCGCAGTGCAAGGTTTGGCCCCCCTTTACGGCTTCAAGCACGACCTTTTCCACGTTAAGAGCTTCTACGTGCGCGGAGCCCTCCGTCCTGTATCGACTTCCGGCACCGAGCTTCTCGCCGTTGGTAGCACGGACAAGTGCGCCGTCGTCTTCCCCACCGATGAGCGCGCCATGCGGGAGTACTGGGACACGCAGAGCCACCTCCCGGCAACGGATACCATGTCCACCTCGTCAAGCGCAGCTACGTCCTCGTCCCACGCAAAGTCTATCAACGCCGGCGGCGCCCAAGTGCCCATCATCCGCAACGGCACGCCCCTCATCCGTGGTCATCGCCGCGAGGTCACGGGGCTCAGCTGGTCCAACGAGGGTAAGCTCGTCACCATCTCGGACGACTACATGGTGCGCCACTGGCAAGAGGGCAGCGATGACGGTGGCCGCGGTAATGGTCGCGACGCCTGGGACCTGCGTACCGGAGGCGAGTTCGGCGGAAACCGGCACATGGCTGGTTGGGCCGACGTCGCGGACGACTGGGACGAGGACTGCGACTCACACTCTGAGTGCTGATCCGAAAACACAGAATAAAAACAAAGCAAAAAGAATGGTGAGAAAAGAAGCATGCGTCTGGATGGAGTTATTCTAGACGACCAAGAGGTCATGAGTTGTTTTTTTGATGACGAGAGTTTGATAGGTCGACTTCACCGTCTGACCTTTTTTTGTACTTGTATATGCGCGGAGAGGAGTCATCTGGATCGGGGCGCGTTGGGAGTTTTTTTTTTTTTTTGAAAGCATTGATTTGGCGGGTTACAAAATGAGACGACAAGAACAGAAAAGACGATTAGAGATCGTGGGGGGAGGGTGGGTATGAGTTCGGATTGGCTTGGTATTAGGAATTAGCATGGTATGGCATCGCATCGCTTCGCATTGCACTGGACTGAACTGGGGGGTTTCTAGATACCATAGCACTCATGGGACATAATTTCCCTTTATACATGATGAGACATGTCAGAAAGCCGTATCATAACACTGAAAATAGTATGCCAATGTAAAGGAGACTTGGTTTGGGATATGCCATCTGGCAGCCGTCTATCTAAGCTTTGAAAGACTGTCATAGACCGTCTACTGCCATGCTATGTCGTAGGGAAAAGAAAAGGCCAAAACACCTGAAAATGCTGTAGGGTTAGGGGGGGGGTATCGTATATCTATCCCATGCCGCAGGTATCCTGAGTTGAAAAACGCTCCGAAACGCCGATGTTGTCATGCTATGCTGCCACCATGCCTTCTCCTACTCCCCTTCTTCTATACGCCCTTTGCTCCCGTCTTCCTTGCTAGAAAGAATATACTGACAATGGCAGCTAAGCCTGCCACGATGATGATGTTAGATATCAAGGAAGTGGCAGAGCGTGATAGCTGACCCTGCCTAGACGCCACACCTCCTGTAGAAGACGTTGCGTTAGCCGCGCCGTCTGTCGAGAACGTCTGGCCCTTGTCCCTTCTGTTTGGTACCGCTAGCTTCGGCTCGAATCTCATAGACTTGGAGGCCGGACAGCATGCCGGGGGCTGTTTTTCCAGGTCACTCAAAGCGTGAGACTGTGAAGTCTCACATGCCTTCTGCCTCGTATGCCTGGAGAGCCACGAATCGGATTTCTCGCTGTCCTCGGAACTCTTCGAGGCCGTCTTCTCCCTCTGTTTGTCTCGAGCAATGGCTACGCTGTCGCGTAGACGACCGCCGGGTGCCAACGATGCCCATGATTCCAAGGCGGAAGGTCCATGTTCCAAGTCCGTGTCACACACATTGTCCAGCTGCCCAACGAGCAGTAGCATATTGTCAAAGATGCAGACGGCCTCTTGGATGATGTCATGCCTCTCACGCGGTGTCAGGAGATGCTCAGATTCCGCCAGCCGTTTCTTAAACTCTTTTTTGAGGTCCTCGCCGTCCAGGGGCGTCGCAAAGTGGAAGAAGCTCAGGGGTAGAGAATGACGCATGTGCTTTGCGCCGACTTCAATCTTCCCACGGCCGTCACCCCGTGACATGTCAACCGGTGTTGCGTTGGGAATAGCAGCGTCCGATGGTGCTGTGCGTTCTTGGCAGGGCATCTGCGATGGTGGAATCGGCGACGACGTTTGCTCCCAGAATTCTGATCCCGCAGACTCGAGTGTTGCTCTGATGAAACGCCCGCCAGCAAAGAGGGCCATGAACAAGATGTACGAGTATGCCATCAGGACGTGGGGCTTCTTCTCAATAGTGCGCCTAACGTGCCTTGTGAACTCGGCTAGGCGTCCTGACTGAGAGATCGCGGCCAGTTGCTCATTGACAACATCGGGGGACCATCCGGTGATGGAACCAAGATCAGCTCGCAGACGATCAGAACGCATGAGTCCGGGTAGGTACAGCGACGTTAGTATTGAGCGTGTCCGCTCGCAAAGAGCAGGTTGGTGTCGCAAGTTTGATTCGATGTTCGAGACCGGTGTAAGGCCAGCTTGGTTTGATTTACAGTCGTCATCGGCCTCGCCAGGAGAAGAAAGTTGGGGTGATTCTGCAATAGTCTTCCATAATGACTCAAAGGTGTCGTAGATGGGCGTGATGTGAAGGAGGCCGGAAGCGTAGAGTGAAGGATCTACGGCGCGGGGCGGGATCGCCAAGGGCAGGCGGGCAATGATAATCTTGTTAAGTTTTGCATGAACAGATCGGGTCGCGGCGGCGATGGACTCGGACAAGGGACGTTGTGTATCTTCGGCCGGCGTTGCGGCTGGTGAGGTCATCGTCACGGGCGTCGGGGCGTCGGGGCGGCTGGTGGCTTCTAGGGAAACGTGCGGGATACGGAATACGGAATAGGGGCGTGGCGTAGATGGTGTATCCGTACAAGAACCAGGCACCCCGTGTTCAGAGAGGGGGAATAATAGGATAATGGATGCTTGGTGTGACACAGGTTCCGAGATGATGCGGTTGGTAGTCGAGAGTCAAAGTGTACCGGTAGTAAGGTAAGGTAGACAGGAGCAGAGACAGAGGGTAGGTAACCAGTAGTCCTAGAAGACTTGTTGTCTGCTGCTCCTCCTCGAGGCCTCCTCGGCGAATTTCGAGACGTAATGCGAGATAATGTAGAAGGACCTTGGAAGGGGGACAGAACGGACGAAAACCACAAACGGAAGCGGTAGCGTCGATCCTCAGTAGGTTGTCGAGGGCAGTGATCGAGTCTCTCTCTCTCTCTCTCTCTCTCTCTCTCTTTTCTTTCCCTAGCAGTGACTGGGAGAGGCTGAACCAGTGGCAGTTGCGCTTTGGGTAGGTAGCAACGGCTAGGAGTAGTAGCGGGTGGCAAAGACGGAAGGGTAATATGGAGCAGAAGGCGACAGCGTCAGAGCTTTCTTTCTTGCTGGAGCGATTACCCGTACCTCTCTCTGGCGTTCTGGTAAAAGTGGTCGGTCACCCGGGCCACCATGCGATGTGCTCTTCAGAAGGAAGAGAGTGAGACTTTCCCGAGAGCTTGGGTTTTTCTGTTTCTTTTTGCGGTCGAGAATTCGGGTACCTAGGTCCCAGAGGGATGGGTCTAGTGTTGTCCGGAGAGATTCCACTTTGGCTGGCATGCAAGCTAGGAAAGCAAGCAAGGTATTAAAGAGACAGAAAAGTTTAAGATCCAAAAGAGCCAGGGACAGGAGGCAGGGCCCGGCAAACGGGGTTGGAAGAAGCTAGTCTCGGCGAGAGGATGTCCAAGATCGCATCGGGTGTTAGCTCGAGTCTGGTCTTGGGGTGATAGATCAATAGGCGTAGGTGTAGGTAAAGGAGTGAAAGGACGAAATGATGTCTGAGATGGAAATCGGATTTATCTGTTGCCTCGCGGGAACTATCCCCAAAATTGATAGGAATTCACTAAGCTTTGTTGCATCGCGTCAAGGTCTCGTGGACATGTAGTAGTTGTACCTTACTAAGGTAGCTCACATACGTCTTGAATCGTATCAGCACACACAGAAGCGAAACTCCATTGTAAAACAACGGACGGCTATTCAACGATCCCCGCCGCGGCATGGCAAATTTCGCCTTAATCGCTCCATGGGAAACGCTCAAGAGAAGGGAATGGAAATGCGGTTCGGGTACCCTACCGTGGAGCGAGCAACCTGGAAGCAAACAGACGAGGGCAAGCCGCAAGAGGGGGGCCCGGCGGGCGGCGAGAGATGTGGAGGACATGGCCAGGGGTCAGGGGTCTTTGGGTCCTATGGCCTTCCATCATTCGCAGTCTCGCCCCGTAAAGGACCACTTTTATCCATCGGGCTGGATTCGAATCGAACATTTTCGCATTGCTACGCTGCCGTCGCTGCATGTCCGACATTTTGCGCAGCCCACTGTGGCTTGCCCTTTCCTTGTTTCTGGACGCTCTACGGAGTACGGAGTACGGGTGGGTATTTCTTCATATTCCTGCCGGATGCGTTTCTCATTTTATCAATGTCTCACGTCTCGGTCTCCAACAACCTGGAAGGTGGGAAATGGGCGAGCAAGGAGTTGGCAAGCTGTGAAGACTAACGAGACACTGGCGATGCACCCTTGGACCCCTTTAGCTCGTGTAGGCCCCTACAATAAGTTAGTATTCGTGTGTACTCCGTATAATGCATTAGACCAGTGACTGGCGACTGGACCTTCTGCAGGAGGAAGCGCGCCCCAGCGATCGGCTTTCCTGCGGGCCATCAATTATGGCAGGACCCCACGATGTTCTTGCTGCCCGCGGCGCCAACAGGTGATCCCTCTAAGTCTGTGCCTCTACCTTCCAAGTTGGGTGATGTGATTAACTAGGTACTTTGGCAGGAGCAAACATTCTCTTGATAGTCACCAGGCCCATCTCTACGGATACTGACTCTTACGTTTTTTGCGCAATGTTAAGTTACCATCCAGTCCTATGGAACCCCTACGACAGTTTCCAAGACTCTCCCTTCTAAACTACTTTTCCGATGTTTTCTGCCCACCTCTCAACCTCGATACAACCCAAGACTCTCTCAATCTTATCCTCCAGTGATACGGAGTACAGCACATGCCAAAAAGATACGAAATTTTTTAAGTTACAACATGCTTTCCCAATTCCCGCAACTCTATCAATGAATAGCAGGGGGGGGGGGGGGCAAGGAAGCCAAGGATTACACGGTTCAACATATTCTGGAGACTTTCAACTCGAAGCGGCGAATCCGATTGCGCGGCTGTCTCCATGCACCTGCAGATCCCCCTCTCAAAATCAAGGAAGACATCAAAAATCCAACATGCATCGTATTTGACTCAAACCCGTCAGGGCGTCATCGGATTCTGCACAATCCCGTCTTGTCATGCTCGACCGACCTTCCCAGTCTCCCCAAAGTCACACCACAGCTGCAGTCGACCACTCACCAGAGAAAAAACTCCGTGGTTCGCATAATGCGATGTTGTCTCCGCCGCAGCTGCATTATTGTTTCCACCCGGAACCACCTCTTTTTGCTTGATTGCTCTTCCGAATCATCCGACTTGGTAACGTGAAGAAAGGCTTCGTGAACGGTGGTTCATTCTTAGGCGTTCCTCATAAGATAACACACAGCCTTACATCGCCGTCTTTACCTTCAACAATCGAGAGATCAACACTGTCGTTAGATACATCTCACGCATTGAAGGCACGATATGATGCAAGTTGATTGTATTAACGACGAGACTGAGCAAACAGCCCAGACTCAACAACAGCGCTCCTGGTGGAATCCAAACACTGGAAGCGCCGTGGTCTTGTGAGTAAACGCCGTGACCCATGCAACACGTCTAATCCTCCCCCTGCGCGCCTCTCTGCTCTCGAAATACAACTTTGTGTGTCTATAGAAACATCCTTTTTATAATTGCGAGATGCCCCGGGATCCTGCCTCGGGGCTCTTGTCGCTCGACTCGTCTTCGTGGCTCTCATTGTTGATGAAGAGAAATGAGATGAGCACCACGGCCGCGCCGACCCAATACACCCAGCTTGAGTACTGTGAGTACTGAATCATCTCGCCAATGAGCGACAGAGGGATCGTAAGGGACAGGCCGACCGTCACGACCAGCGGGGTGGTAAGCAGCATGGCGTACGCCCATGACATGTCGCTGATAAAGGACGACAACGAGTTAACAATGACAATGGCCCAGATTTTGGCCGTGGGAGGGAACGAGAACTGTACAACCTTCATTAGACACTCAAAAGTCCACAGATATAAGGGGTATGCGGTGTGACTTACTGGTTCCATCCCCGTGAAATGCAAGATGAAGAACACAGGCCAGAGGAACACCAAGTTAAAGAGTCCAACCAGACCAAAGAAGAGCGGCATATTCACCCGATCTTCGTTGCCTACCCGCCTCTTCATCACAGTCACGTAGAGTCCGTAGATGATGGCGCTCACAAACGCCATCAGGTCCCCAATGGCAATCTGCCCCGTCGTCTTGTGCGGGAACGACCCGCGGTTCTCGTCGCTCGACCCGGACAGGTCCACCGTCGATATCAGCACGATGCCCGTCAGCGACGCCAGCACGCCAATCAGCTTGCGCGCCGTGAACCCTTCGACCCCCATCACGGCGCAGAAGACGAGCGTCCACACGCTGCTCGTCGAGTTGAGGATCGTCACGCTCCCGACGCTCGTGTACTCGAGACACGCCGACGCAAAGTAGTTTGCAAAGAACCACAGCATGCAGAACTCAAGGCTGATGACGGCCGTCTCCCGGAACGTGAGCCGCTCCACCCTCGTCGTCGTCTCGAACCCTTCCATCTCCAGGTTCGGCTCGTCGTCCACCAGCAGGCGCTCTCCGGCCACCGTGTCTTCCTCGTCCTCGGCCGTCTTGAGGTCCTTGCCGTACCTCTGCTCGTTCCAGACCACCATTGCCTCACGTCGTAGACCCTCGACGCCGTGCTGCATCAGGAACCGCACCAACATCGGTATCAGTGACACCGCAAAGACTGACGTATTCATATACACCACAAAGAATGGCTTGTCGTAAGAATGATCTGAAAAGATGTACTGCCCCCCACTGTCAGCTTACGCCAGACCGCCATCAAACACCATTGCCAACTCACAGATGCCAAAAAGTTGGATATCGTCCACAACAGCACTGTCACAAGCAGCAGCGAAATGCCTAGCGTCCGCCTCGCAACACCGCCCAGCCCCATCTTTGCCTGCCATCCAGATGACCGCACCGTCGACCTCGACCTGTTTGTAGACGCAACCGAGGCGCTCAGCCTGTCGGTGCTTGAGAATGACCTCCTCGGGGGACGGTCATAATGCTCGGGTGGTGCCAGCGCGGCGGGCAGCATAGGCTCGCTCGGTGCCATTTTCGTTTCGGGAGTTTCGCGATATCGTCGTCGCGCGCCGTGTCGTCGGGAGGTAGGTAGGTAGGTAGGTGTGCAGGAGGAGTTTGCGGATTCAGGGAGGGCCGTCCGCCTTGAGGTAATCCAAGGTCGCTGTCGATACTGTAGGCATTTGACCGCAGGGACGGCGAAGAGCAACAGCAAACTCTCAAAAGATCGTCACAAATAATTCGCGTTCAAAGGTGGGCGGCCGGTTGCCGAATGTCCCGTCGCTCGACTCGGCGCATGTGTAGCACGGCACGGATATGCCGTATGCCAACTGCTTCTCGGGCCGTCGGTTGAAGGCGATGACGATTATGGAGCGGTTTACTGGAGAGCAGCAAAAAGACCCTACCCTCAACAAGGCGAACACTCAAAGAAGCTTGGCGAGCTTCTCTTATGCGGACGCGTCGTCCGTATTTTTTCGTTGCTGGAGCGTTTACTTTCAAGGGATTCGTGTCAATGTGTTAATTAAGGGTGTTTCTCCAAGGTTGAGTTTCAATGGCACGGGCGAAAACACCCCCTGTATTCGTCCCAAGTACCGGCGACCAATAGTGGTGGGTCGATCGCGTGCCACGGATTCGAGTCTCAGCCTCCCTCAGTAAGGCAGGTAGGTGGTTAAGTGAGCAAGTGAGATAAATCTCTTCCATTTGCTGTAAGGTACATACTAAATGCTGCCTAGAGCATAAGACGCAACCTCTTCCTCCCCTAGGCTGCCGCCGATGGACAAAGCCAAGCATGACGACGCGCATTAAGCTTACAGAGAGCACTGGTTGCCAGGCCGGACTTAGTGCCGGTCTCCAGCCTTGGGGCTTTAGTGTAGCCTCGGATCCATCCTTCTGTGCGGAGTCTGATGACGGACGGCAAGAATGATCCGTCAGCTCGGACCGGTGATGAGAACATGATGGAGTAGATGGCTGTCTTCCGGTGCTCCGCGCCTGTCAGTTAAGATGGAATGTTGTATCCGTAAGAGGCGTCCATTTGTCGGTCCGGTTGCGGATCCTCTACCCAGAAGCCGTAACTTAACTCAAATATGGTTGCAAGTGTGGTAAGTCATCACGATGCAGAAAGCGAAAGGGCATTGGCACTATACGAATAAACCCTTGATCAAATTCCAATAATAACCTCTAAACACCTTTCGCACCAGTGCAGGATATGCAACATCAAGCCAAGGCCAAAAAATGGATATGTGGAAAGGCCCTTGGACTAAACATAATGCGAGTCGGACAGGGTCCTAATACTGTGTGCCGCCCTGGTCCTCAACTCGCTCAACATCAACCAAATGCTTACCCAAAAGCAACTTAGCAAGAACATCCGTCCCGGGGGTTTTCGATGGGGATGTTGATGACATCCTGGTAGTCACCGCTGAACTCCTCGGACTCTTCCTGGGCCAAAGCGTTCCGCGCGATAACTATTGTACGATGTTAGTACTCATGGTTGCGGGCGCTCATGATGCTGCACCAACCTTCGAATGCCTGTTCAACATTGATGGCCTCCTTTGCACTGGTCTCGAAGTAGGGAATACCGCCCTTGGACTGGCAAAAGGTCATTGCGCGCTTGGTCGAAATCTACGATACTGTCAGCCAACTGTAGGAATATTAGACATTCCTGACCACTCACCACTCTCTTGCTCTCCTCAACGTCAATCTTGTTTCCGAGAACGACCTGGTCGCTTATCAGTCACGATTCACACAATCCAGCGTCAATCAGCCACTGACGAATGGGAAGTTGTCCGGGTCCCGCGGTGAAGCCTGAATCAAGAACTCGTCCCTCCAGCTGTCCAGAGCATCGAAACTCTTGGAGTTGTTGACATCGTATACGAGCACGCAGCAGTCGGCGCCACGGTAGAAGGCGACGCCCAGAGACTGGAAGCGCTCCTGTCCTGCCGTATCCCAAAGCTGTCGTCCATCGTCAGCACATGTCCGGATCGTTGATCAATCGTTGTGTCGGTCTGATCCCACCTGCATCGTAACCTGTCGGTCGTCGACGAGAACCTCGCGCGTCAGGAAGTCGGCGCCGATTGTGGCCTTGTAGCTTGCACTGAACTTCTTGTTGACCTGGGTGGAAGATTCACGTCAGCGCCAGTCGCCTCCTGGTGTTGCTAGGCCGACGAAAACTCACATATTGGTTCATCAGACTCGTCTTGCCGACACCGCTATCGCCAAGGATAATGACCTGCAAGAAAACAACCTCGTCAATTATGCCGCGCGACGATGTGCTGCAGCGCTGGAAGGGGAGAGCCCACCTTGAGGAGGACCTTCTTTCTCGATGACATATTGAATCGAGAGCCTCGTGGGAGGAGTTGTGTATGTAGAGTTTAGAATGGACAAAAGTATCGGCGTCAACAGTCGGTCGTTCTACGTAGTGTTACGAAAGTTTCGGTCGCTGGTTGGGTTTCTTATCGGTTCGGACGTCAAGGTGATCGAAAACGGACCGGTATCTTGCGGTCAGGGGTGGTTGGTTGGTGTCAAGTGCAGGTCGACACGCAGTAGATCGATGGAGGGAAAGTCATAGTGGAGGTTGACAAGGAACCAGGCGGTACTGAGAGCTCCCGTCACATTTCCAGGTTTCAGCCTATCAAAGAGCTGCCTCCAGTTGCTGGGTCTAACCAGGAAGAGCTCCGAGTGTCTACCTACCACTCTGCCTACAGGCTACGCAGCAATATCGTCAGGTGCACTGCTGCTGTTGTCATTGTGGCTGACGTAACGACCAAGGCGCCGTGGGAATGAACGACGGTGCTCAATGCACTGTACTTTGGTGAACTCCAAGGTACCTTAGTTGTTCAGTCGCTCCAGCCACACTCCTCAACTCAACGACGGTCCAGGCGAACTGAGCCCAGCAGGAGCACGCCCTCACTACCTACCTCAACTTACTCCGAATTCCTGCGAGTACCAAGACCTCTCCCACCTCTAGTCGCACATCACATTAATGCTGTGGACAAACAACACACGAGACTACATCCGTAGCCCAACATGCGCTGATGGGACTTTTGACGCACATCTCACCCGATCCTCATGGCGGATGAAGAAGATCTCCTGACCAAGGTCCACGGCCTGAGCGACCTCGAGCTCGCCGCCCTTTTGTGCCTGGTCAACCGAGAACACTGTATCGTCAGCACTCCGCCCGTCGCCCTCAATGAGCTCATCGAGGAGCTTCAACTTGTGAGCGCATCTGTTGTTACCTTCCGCTGTTCACATCGTTAATCTACTGCAGATCGCGACCAAGACCTTTGGTCTGACGTGCGCCGTCGTGGACTGCACTCCGCAAACCACCCTGGAGGACTTTGCATCCTCCATCCTCATAGCGCAGTCGCCCGCAGCAACCAGATCAGGCTCGCCCCTTCGCACCCGCAACGACTCCTACTTCTACTCCCGCGCCGGAATCTCGCCATTGACCGCCGTCAACGCCTACAGCCCTACGGGTCCCGGCGGCGCAGCCGGTTCTTCCATCGCCAACGTCATCCTCGCCCGGAACCTGGACTGCGCCCCCAAGGCCGTGCAGATTCAGGTCCTCGAGCTCCTGCGTACCCGCCGCATCTTCACCCGCACCTCCGTCCAGACCGCTCCCAAGCAGTTCCTTTTTGTGGCTGCGTTGGCTGCCGAGAGCGGAGGCAACGCTCATGTTACGCTACACCTGAACGACTACTTCTTCATCGCGCACTGGCACGACCCGGATGATGGCTTTGCCAACTTGGACGAGGCGTACGATAAAACCTACGATGCCGAGACTGCCAGCACCGAGAGTGTGGTGAAGAAGAGCATCAACGAGGAGGCAATGGCGGTCAGTGAGGATCCCCTTTTAAGTGAAGGTGTAAGTGAATTTTTACGTGGTTCTTGGTCTTTTGGGGGGCTAACTTTTGGTAGGACATCGCATCGTTGGCTAAGCTGAGCCGAGAAGTACAGGTCAATGTGGATGTACTGCGCTATCAAATGAACATTGTCACGTACTTGAGGATGCACCGCGCAGTTGCTGGTGGCATCGAGCCGATCGCCACGAAGCATCTCGACCAGCTACTGAAATGCCTCGCCCCCTTACACCGCCTGGACTTTGTAACGCCGGCCCTCGTTCACTTGGCTATTAGGAAAGTCTACCTGCATCGGATCCGAATTGTGCATGCAAAACAGGAGAGGAGCATGCAGTGGGGCAGCCAACAGGAAGCCATCGAGTCCATTCTCGAGGGCCTGGGCGCCGAGGACGTAATCGAAGACGTGATAAATATGGTGGCGGCACCGCTTTGAAGGCAAATTTGACTATTTGTCCAGCGAGCGTGATTGATTCTACTCAGTGGCTACGTCTTTACGAGTCTTTATCCTTGATACCCATGGGAAACAATTCGAGACATGGAACGCCCGCCGTCGATCCGTGTACTGATGCGTCTCCTGCATCTACCTTGTAACGTTCGTTGGTCTCAAATACACTTATTCGTAATCGAACATTCCCATTTCTGTCGTGGAATTAAAAATCTATAATACTACAAGCCAGCCAACGCCAGGGGAGGCTTGCGCAATCTGGTCGCCAGATAGGCCACTTTTGTTTAGTTGACCTGGTTGACTCTGCACTTCCAGCCAGATCCGGGGGAGAGAAGAGGCAAGCTGTGACATGTTAGCTTCTGTATGGTGACTTCACAGAGATCAATGAACGTACCTAGCACCGAGGCACCAGCCCAATTCGTTACCCTTGATCTTCTTGGCAATCTTGACCTCGCGGTCGATGGGCATCTCGTAACCGGTGTGGAGAAGAGCCATCATGAAGTTGAGATCGAGGCAGTGCTCAGGGCGGTCCTGCAACTCCTTCATGGCACCGGGAATGCTGGCAAAGAGATCCCAAGACTTCTCACCGCCGCAGACAGAGTTGGCAAGGTCGTGCATCTCACGCAGGGTGAAGGAGTCGGGCATGCCGAGAGGCTTAGTACGGTCGTAGAAGTAGGAGAAGATGTAGACGTCCTCACGGCCAAAGGTCTTGGCCAATGATGGCTGGTGGACACCGTTGAAAGAGCAGGGCGCAAGCTTGCAGCTCTCCTCCTTCTTCAGGATCTTCTCGGCAAGGTTGCGGCACTGGGCGGGGGCGGCCTGGGAAGGACCGGTCATGTTGAAGGTCACAGTCTTGCCGAGGGGGTGCTTCTCATCGAGCTCGACCTCAACCTCTCTGACCATGCCGGGGGCAATGCAAGGGTGGATGATGGGCTGCTTGACCCAGGTGTCGTCGGACTTCTTGCTCTCAAAGATCTCCTCAATCAGCTGCTTGTGGACGGCCTTGCGGGCGCTCATCAAGCCATAGCCCAGATGGGAGTGCTGGTAGAGCTCGAACTTTTGTCCTCCAAAGGCAAGATCGTACTTGTGGTCGCCCTCGGCGAGCTTCTCCGGCATGCCTCCGTCCGCAGCTCCCTTGAAGGTGGGCTCGAAGACAATCTGGGTCGAGCCACCGCCGAGATCGAAGACGGCAGCGGTGGGGCTCTTGTCAGGGCCGCCAATCTTGCCGAGGAGGTAGTTGGTGGTGATCCAAGCGTAGACGCCTTCGTCGGCGCCGTCCATGATGGCAACTCCATTATCCTCCTTGGCAACGACGGGGAAGGGGTACTTGGTCTCGAGGCGGTTGCGCACAGCAGCAAGGATCTTCTCGGCGTTCTCAGCTCCGACCATGCGGAGTCCAGCGGTCGCTTTCACCGCGACAGGACTGCAGGACTTGAGCTTGTCGGGAACGTTGGTCATGGCAACGTCCATCAGAGCGTCGAGAGAAGCGGCAGCGGCCTCGGGGTCGTCCTTATACTTGCTGAGACCACCAACTGACTTCTCCGTCATCTTGAACTCCTCGTGCTCCAGCTCCGGGGTGGCACCGCAGTTGTTGAACTTGTAGACGTGGATTCTGGATCCAGTGCTGCCAGCGTCGATCATCAGGACGTACTGGACGATGGGCTTAGACTTGGAGCTGGACTGAGTGCACTTGTCGGTGCCGTACGAGGCATCGGCAGGGACCTGGCCACCAGCGCCGCCTTTCGACACTATTGTAGATGTGTTAGTTTCAAGTGGTTTACATGGGCTCTGATAAGCCGTCGCTAACCTCCGCCATTGTAGACATTGACGCCTCTAGGAGACAGATACCAGAAGAGGAAGACGACGAAGAAGGCGATGGCGCCCGTCCTCATCCACCTCGTCTTCTGTGCTTGAGACATATCTCTCAACGCCGCGAACAGGCCAGTATTCCGTTGAGCAGGTGCAAATCGACCAGGCTTTTCGTGTGGATCTCGCGCGGGTTGCTTCGTCGGCAGCGACACAGATGTTCTTCGCATTGGTCGCGTGTTGTTGGTGCTTAGGGGAACACAGAGTAACGCATTCGAGGTACAGTGGGCGTCGAGATGGGACAAAGGAGTGGACTGGACTGAACCGAGGACCGATTACGAAAGGGAGCAGCACGGGGCGACTCGAGGAAACAAAAAAAGGTGCGGATGGCCGAAGAAAGGAGCGGACGAGATGGGATGGTGGCACTGTACCCGGAGAAAAGTGCAGAAGTCGTATATGTATGTAGGGAGACGTCGTCCACAGTCCAAGGGGGGGTGAGGAGATGCAAGGTACTTACGGTTAGGTTGGTCTCGAAGGGAGTTTGATGGCAATTGCAGATTTTCTCTTTTCTGAGAGGTCATCAAAATCCAGACATCCCTGTCTCGAGCTGACAGTTTGCTAATCTTGGGTGCATAGGTGCGCCAGCGGGGATAACGCGAATCCACTGAAATGCTGAACCTGGAGGGCATCCTCCTGTCGCGTTCACCTTAATGGCCGGCTCCATGATTAGGGGGCGGGGCCACTGACTCCCTGCTACGCCCCCTAAATTGCGCAGTCGCTCCTTCACACGGCGGGCAGGTATTGAGGTAGAGTCCCATTTGCCGGGCATGTTCTGATCATTCCTGAGGTGATCAGCTTGCGGTCAAGGCACAACTGGCATTCGAGCTTACCTAAGATTACGTACTCCCGATCCTTATCTAGAAAAGGCATCTTAATCGATAAACTGGCGTGTCCCAAGCCACGTGTGGCGCCTTCTCCGGATCTGACACTGTGACCGGACCCTGGAAGCTTCTCGTCCAGCGACTATTACGACTACGTCTTGTTGCCTCCGGCGTAATGATGAATATGAACGACCTCCAGAAAGAGGATTAAGCAATTTCCAGAACGAACCCTCTGTCATACCCAACTTCAACCATACCTCACACAAGTCATCAAAGATACAGCCTTTTCACTCTCAGCTCACTACAGTTCTTTCCAATAAAGAAGTCGAATCCCGGTCTAGGCCGAGCGAAGCCTCTCAAGATGGACGTGCATCTTCTAACATACGACCTATCCCGTGGGCTTGCACGGCAAATGTCCCAGGGCATGCTTGGATTTCATCTCGATGCAATCTATCACACGTCCATTCAACTCAACGGACGCGAGTACGTCTATGATGGTGGCATCGTTGACATGACTCCGGGTACATCTCATCTGGGCCAGCCCATGGAGCGCATATTCCTCGGAAAGACAGAACTACCCATGGAGGTCATCGAAGAGTTCCTAGAGTCATTAAGACCAATCTTTACAGCCGAGGTGGGCTCGACTCCATATACCTTTGAGTTGACTGAGGCTAACCAACTATCAGGCCTACGACCTATGGAAACACAACTGCAACAACTTCTCAGACTCGTTTTCTCAGTTCTTGCTTGGGAAAGGCATCCCAGAGCACATCGTCAAGATGCCTGATGCTGTACTCAGCTCTCCAATGGGCAGAATGCTCATGCCTCAACTGAACCAAGTAATAAACTCCAACAGACAAAACGGTTCAATCCTCGGTATCCAGAACAATCCAACTCCTCAAGGCTACGGATCCGCACCGCAGCCCGCAAAACCCCAAGCAAATATCAGGGTCGTAAGTAGCTCACAGGAGCTCGACGCAGTCCTTGAATCTGCCGCAAGGTCTTGCGCTGTTGTTCTCTTCACCTCCGCCACATGCCCTCCTTGCAGGGCCATTTCGCCCATATTCGATGAAGTGTCTGCAGAGGCAGGCAGCAAGGCCACGTTCATCAAAGTAGACGTTGCCCAGCTCACACCGCTTCCCGGGAAGAACTACCCTCGAGCAACTCCGACATTCATCACGTATTTGCATGGAGACAAGGAGAATGAGTGGGCGGGCGCTGATCCTGCTGCCCTTCGAGGCAACGTCCAGCTCCTGCTACAGATGGCTTGGCCTCGGCACCCCCACGAGTCCCTCAAGCTTCCCAGCTTCTCCAACCCGAACGCAAAGCCAGTATTATTTTCAAAAGTACCGCCACTGGCCAAACTACTGTGCAAGATGGGGTCGGCAGCAGATGAACCAGCTGTGAAGGCAACCAAGCAGTTCATTGAGGCCCGCGACAAGCAGGGTGCCGCCGCTGCAGTGCTCCCAAACCTGGGCGAATCCTCGGCATTTTTGCAGAGATCAGTGCAGTCATTACCCGTCGAGATTCTTTTCACCATCATCGACTTGTTCAGATGTGCGCTCGTCGACGCAAGATTTAGCGGCTATTTTGCTGAGGAAAAGGGGCACTCAGCTGTTTTGGCAATCCTCAACCTCGTCAACTCACACAGCGACTGTCCGTATGCCTTGCGATTAGTTACACTACAAATGGCGTGCAACTTCTTCTCCACGCCGCTCTTCCCGGAGGAAATCCTTCGAAACGAGACTTTGAGGGCACCCGTTATTCAACTGATATCTTCGAGTTTTCTAGACGACAGTCACAATAATGTTCGTGTGTCCGCTTCGTCCCTCATGTTCAACTTGGCACTCTTCAGCAACAAAGCAAGACGTGAGAAGTCGGGAAACGTACTACCAGATGGCGACGCAGTAGAGTTGGCTGCGTCGGTGTTGGAAGCCATTGGGCAAGAGGAGTCTTCGCCAGAGGCACTGCAGGGCATGCTTCTGGCACTGGGTAACTTGGTCTACTGCACGCCAGGTGACAGTGAAGTCTCGGATTTGCTAAGGACGATGGATGCGGAGGACACGATTCTGGCCAAGAAGAAGCAATTCCCAAATGAGAAGATCATTGTAGAGGTGGGCTCAGAGCTTCTGGGCAAGGGGCTTAGACGGCCGTAACTTGGCTTGCACATTGGTAGCGATAGAATACACTAGACTGCGTGGCGTTGGGTACTGGGTGTTGACACCGTCAAAGATGTGCCGAATATACACTAGACGTTTGTTTGCAGGGCGATTTGTTTACACGAACGGGAGCACGAGTGTCTGTCATCTGATTCTTCCACAACACACCGGCAGCGACGCCTTTTCGCGCAACTTTGAGAAGAGAATGCTCATCCTTCGTCTTGCAAAAATCAACAATCGCTCGATTGAATCTCTTTTCTTTTATTCCGCTGTTTATCTGCCAACAAAAAGCAAGTCGACAACACTTTTCAAGATACGTACTTGCAACCCCTGCATTCCTACCCCAGGCCAACAGCACACCGCATAGCAAGTGTGGCGTCACTGCCCCGGCAACTGGGCCCCACCAGCTTTCATCCTAATTGGGCAACCGAGTAAACAAGCCCGACCGCCTCATGTTGGGATGTGGGCTTCGCAACGGCAACGATACCACGCAATTTTTGAAGAACTGAAGCAGACCCTTCGTGGATTGTCTCTCGATCATCGACTGCTACCGCCAGCAGTTTATGAGATGCCGGCTCTCTACTCGTCTGCTTCTACCCCGTCTCTGCGGTCGCACGATGGACCGGTCAGAATGGACGGGGGAGGCAATGTTCGAGTCGTTGTCCGAGTGCGGGCGTTTCTGCCCAGAGGTATGTTGATGGCTTCCCGGTATGGCACAGAAGAGAGAGACTGATGACCGAAATCCAGAAATCGAGCGTGGTGCCGAGTGCCTAGTGGAGATGGACCCCATCACACAGCAAACGACGCTTCTCGTGCCCAACGACAACGACCCTGCGAATGCGAAAGCAAAGTCGAGAAAGATTATCGAGGAGAAGAACTTCACATTCGACAACTCTTTCTGGAGTCATGACCTCAGTGACAAGTATTACGCCCACCAGGAAGACGTCTACAACAGTTTGGGCGAGGAGTTCCTCGACCACAACTTTGAGGGCTACCACACATGCATCTTTGCCTACGGTCAAACGGGTTCCGGAAAGAGTTATACAATGATGGGTACGCCAGATCAGCCGGGCTTGATCCCTCGAACGTGCGAGGATCTCTTCGAGCGAATCGAGTCTGCGCAGAATGAGACGCCCAACATTTCCTACAACGTTCGGGTGTCATACTTTGAGGTCTACAACGAGCACGTCCGCGATCTGCTTGTTCCGGTTGTGGCTAACCAGCCGCCGTACTATCTCAAAATCAGGGAGTCGCCGACGGAGGGTCCATACGTGAAGGATCTGACCGAGGTGCCTGTCCGCAACCTCAACGAGATCTTGCGATACATGACGATGGGAGATAGATCGAGAACCGTGGCCAGCACCAGAATGAACGACACAAGTAGTCGCAGTCACGCAGTATTCACAATCATGCTCAAGCAAATCCACCACGATATGGAAACGGACGAGACAACGGAGCGGAGCTCGCGTATTCGGCTGGTCGATCTGGCTGGCAGTGAACGTGCCAAGGCAACCGAGGCAACAGGCCAGCGGCTCCGCGAAGGCAGCAATATCAACAAGTCGCTAACGACCCTCGGCCGAGTGATAGGAGCGCTCGCCGATGCCAAGGCGGGTTCGAGGAAACGCAGCAAGGACGTCGTTCCGTACCGAGACTCGATTCTCACGTGGCTGTTGAAGGACTCGTTGGGAGGCAACAGTAAAACGGCAATGATTGCTTGCATCGCGCCGTCGGATTACGAGGAGACTCTGTCGACGCTTCGCTACGCAGATCAAGCCAAGCGCATCCGTACGCGCGCGGTTGTCAACCAGGACCAGATCTCGTCGGCGGAGCGCGATGCCCAAATCGCAGCCATGGCGGACGAGATTCGAGCCCTTCAGCTGTCTGTATCGGAATCGCGCCGGCGGGAGAAGGATACCAAGGACCAGGAGGAGAAGCTCGAGGAGTACCAGAGCCACGTGGCCACGATGCAGCGCATGATGGAAGAGCGCAGTCTCGTCGCCGAAGGCAAGATCCGCAGCCTGCAAACGGAGAACGAGGCGCTGCGGCTTCATCTCAAGCTCGCGCTCGAGAGCCTCAAGAACCCGATCCCGGCCGTCACGATTAAGCCGCCGGAGGCCGAGGAAGCGGAGACCGAGGCTCAGAGGGCCAAGTCGAAGAGTCCCGAGGGCAAGGAGAATGGCGAGGATGCCGAGTCATTGTACGACGACTCGGACGACACGGCGTACGACTCGGACGTTATGGAGGATAATGCCAGCGACATGCAGGAGTACATGCGCAGCCTGCTGAGCGATCTAGGCATGTTCCGGAGGAAGATTGGAGACGACAAGGAGCGCTGGGTCGGCGAGGCGCCGCCTGCGGGCAGCAAGATGAACTTCTAGAGTCATAGGTCTAAGGGGGTTCGATGAATGAGTGTGGACGAAAGAGATCGGCTATTGATTGTTACGAAGCACCAAGACGACAATGGTAAGCATGGTGTTTTGGGAGTCCTTCTTATTCTTCGGGGTTTACTTTGTTTAGGAGAGAGAAAGAGAGAGAGAGAGAGAGAGAGAGAGAGAGAGAATCCATAGTTTGCAGTCAACACATAGTACATGACACATCAAAACTCCCGTAATGGGTTAACACACACAGAACGATGAAATGCAGTGTAGGGCAAATTGCAAGATTTGCTCTGCCGGGGACACGTTCGACCCTATTGCACATGCCATGATTGAAACCTGTATGAACACGATCCAGCCTGTCAGATCTCATGGAAAGTGGGCGGGTGTTCTTTGCTTGTTCCCATTGATCTCAAACAGGGAATCCATTCTGGCGGTGCTTCACAAGTCGAGGAGCATGGAGCAAGGCGCGGGAGGGCCGCCGGGGGCCCCTACGTGCCGCTTGCGCTGTCTCCAAAGATTTACGGTCAATTTTTCCCATCAGGAATACTGCGAATGATACATGCCTAACGTCGAGAGCCGAAGAGGGATGTCGCTGTTAGGGTTAGACAGGGTTGGGAATTGGTAACGGGAGGGCAGAGACAAGGGCAGGGATGAAGCATCCGGAAGAGACGACGGCGAAGCAAGCCGGTGAACTACTTGTCAAGGGGGAGTTTCGAGACAACGGTTTGGTTCTTTCGACGACGGGCAACGTGCTCCGGAGCCGTTGGCCATCGAAACTTTGACGTGCGTCTTTATGTCCGTGTTGAGTGTCAAACTTGCCAGCCCTAGGAACCGAATGCCCCGACGGGGGGTTTGGAGAGTTGAACGGAGATCTAGGTAAATGGCTTTCGTTGGGTGTGCCAATTTCAGAGGCTCTCGCAAGCGCAATTTTGATAATGCGTTTGGTTTGCGATGAAGATTAGCTTTACGCTTCCTCTTCTTTCGGTTTGGGTATTTGGTCTGTTGGAATAGCATTGGACGAAGGTTGGTGTTTGTTCCTGAGTATAGTTCGGGTGCAAACGCCGTTTGGATTTTTAGTTTCTTTTCCGGGGAAGCTGCCTGAAGTAGCTTGCGGTCGATTGGTTTGCCATGGAGCGTTTTGATCGTCAAAAGGTAGCTATCTCGTGAAGAGTTGATTTCCTGGCCAAGTCGTGGTCTACGGCGGTGGATCGCGGTCCTGAAGATGGAGACTTCCGTGGATCTAGGCAACCAAATCGTCTTGCAAAGCAAACCCAGGGAGGAATTCAAAGAGTGCAACGCCACGAACAAGCCGGCAACAAACTGGGCCAGGACCCCAGGGACTGTGGTCTGGAGTTGGAGTGGTCGTCAGGCGCGGGAGACTTGCTGCACACCATGCCTCTTCTCCCAAGGCAGGAGATAACTCAAAGGCCGATGAGCTATAGAACTGAGTCGATTTTCGATATCAGAGCTTTCTGCGATATGTTGTTCCTCAGATCCATCTCAAGTTTCTGCTTCTTTTTTTGGCTTTAAGGGGTTCCCGTTCGATATGCGAGTGATTTCTAGAGGATTGCCAAAAAGGTGAGGAGCGCGAGAGCAGCAAAGCAAAAAAAAAAAAAAAAAAAAAAAAAAAAAGGATGAGTGAACGGGCTGTTGGTTGAGCTAGGCGTCGAACCCGACTCTCGAGCTTCGAATGTGTGCAAGTGGTTAGAGAGCGTGCATTTGTGTGACTATGACGAGTCTTCCGAGAGTCAATTGATCTTGTGGGTGCATCTCATTCTCCGCTCCAGTTGATGATGTTGAGCAGCTCAGACGTTGAATGGGATGTTAAGGGTCATAGCTGGATAAGGTACCTACCTACCTTGGGACAGAGGTATTATCCGGAAGAATGTGACCGACCAGAGTGCTGGCGTGATTACCTAAGATGCATTCTACCTAAAGTGCCTTCTTTCACAGTCAGGCAGTGTAGATGGTCGTTGCCATATTCACAGTGATGGAAACTACATGTACCATTCATTGACAGGCAAGTGCTTATCAGGGCAACTATCTGGCCTCGCTCGGATCAGCTCCTCTTCGAACAGTTGGAAACCCGCGGGGATGTTGCGCTTTCTAACGACGTCTGCGCGTACCTTGCATCCAAGTTCCTACGGCGGCACATGCCTCGTCCCTGGTCCCTGTTCCTGGATGCTGGATACCCCCTGCCAGGCCGCGACCCTGCTCATTTACACCCTCAGGAACCGCCGAACCGAGAAGAACAGCTGTATCTATACGGTAACGTGGGTAATAAATAGCCTTCCTTCTCGAACGTGAACCTGAACATCCGGTCTTTGCTCCCCTTGCCCACCCTCGTCGCCACGACTTATCACTGGCCGCGCCGGCGGCTGGATGTTTCAGGGCGGTAAGATGTTCCCACCAAGTTCTACCATCCCTAGGGTCTCTTTTCTTCCTCTGAATCGACCACCGTCCCAGCCGTTCAGTTCACTCGTCGGCTCTGAGTTTGCCAAGTTGCCAATGCCAGTCGGTTCCAGCGTCTCCAGACACCACATTCAGATCGGGACGGGCGGCCGTGACGGCTGCCGCGGAATGTCACCTTGGGCCCGTACCTACGGCAGGAGGACGCCGTTGCCGTTTCGCCTGTGTGCCTCATGTGTGCAGCGGCAGGTTCCTTCCATCACCACATGGGCAGCACAGCAGGGAGCAGGAAGCAGGAATCGCGTCCGAGACGTCCTCATTCGCCTGTACCTTGCAGAGTACATATGTACGTACGAATAGGGACATCCAACAATGGATGTCTGCCTTGAGCACTCGGACGGTTCGTGTACCGTCCCGTCTCTCTTTCCCCGTCGAGACTCGAGTCTGCTGAGAAGTTGAATCTGGAGCCTGAGGTGCTCACTTCTCACTTCTTCTTCTTCAGGCGCCCATATGCCATTGTCGCGAAGACCAAGGACCCCTGTCCAGCTGCGCTTCAGACCTCAGATCTGAGCCCTGGAGGCAGTGGAGGCACTTTCGACCGGATTTTGAAGCTCCCTACCCACTCTCTCCAGAGAGATCTCCCAGACTCCCACCCTCTAATTACCCAGCGTTCAGCAAAGATACCCTGCCCTTTGGGACCGCCTGGAGTGTCGTCTTGTGTTGCGGCCCTAGGATTCTTGTGCCCCCTGCGGTGTATCTGGCAGAATGTACTCCAGAAGGTACCTACCCTAAGCACCAGAAAGAGGATTGAGGTATCTTGAGTATCGCCGTGACGAGAGATGGGATGAAATGAGATGGGCAGCTTCTTGCTTAATATCCCTACCTCGCCGCAGACTCGTCTCCGGGTCTTTTCTTCTCCTTTCTCTCTACCGCCTCTCCCTCGGTCGCCGTCCTGTTGTATCTTCACGATTCTTTGTCACCAACTCCCTGAATACAACCGTCGAGTCATTCAGAGTTGCAAGGAACACGAACTTCAGCTGCTGTTTTCAATCGTCACACCTTGTTCTGCCAAACAGGTATCCTCTGGTCCACCTGTGTCCCTGTGTCCCCGGGACTGATTAACACTTGGGAGGAACACCACCAGCGTCAAAGCAAGCTGCAAGACAAGGACATCTGTTCCTGACAATCAAATCTCCCCTCCCCGCGCCATCTTGCTGTCTGATCTACCAATTCAGACTACGGATACGTACGAACAGGCTGCATCTGTACGAAGTACTCCCCCAGACAAGCTCAAGAAACCCACCAAACCGGTCCTTTCATTGGTGATTTCCAAACAGCCCCAAGCCTTTCCACGTCTCCTCATACCGGGCCAACAACCACATTACCACACACCAAGCCAAGTTCCCAACCAGCACACAGCAATAAACGACGCCGGCCCTCAGGCACTTAAGCGTGCCCCGTCCCCGTCCCGTCAACGGCCTGCCCACTTCTGCCCCTCGTAGCTACATTAGGCACCGCCGCACTCCACCGAGCCAACCAGCGACCAACGACCAGCGACCCAAAAAAGCAAGGGCAGTTTGGCTAGCAGTTGTGACTTGTAACTTGTCACTGTGTCCCGTCCCTTCTTACCTCTCTCGGTCACGCCTACCCGACCCCCGATCCCCGACCAGGTCCAGCGAGCAGCGACGCAACATACGACCTCAACTTCACCTTGAACCGGACACTTGCCTTTCGACTCGACACTCGACACCTCTTTCCGTCTTCCTGCTCCTGCGACTTCATCTGCCGCTGTCCTTCCTTTGCATTCCCTCCCTGATACCCCTTTTCCACCGCCCTCCCAACCACATTATACGCCATGGCCGCCAGACCTGCGCTCTTCACCCGTGGTCTCTCGGGGCTCTCCCAGAGCTCAACCGACCCCAACTCGCCCAGTGTCAGCTCCCCGGCCGACCAGCGTGACGATGCAAAGCGCAACTTCCTCAAGGCCATGCGCCCTCTGCCAACACAACACTACTGGAACGTGTACTTTGACAAGTGAGTGCTCCTTGTTGGAATGACCACAGTGTCTGTCCTCGGCGCATGCCCAAGCCTTACCCAACCCCACCCCCACCACCCCCTGAAGCTTCAAGGCTAACTTCCAACCCTCACTACAGACAAGCAAAGGACCAGCAAAAGTCGGGCAACGATGATGAGTACAAGGTGCAGCTGGAACAGCTCGGCGCGCAGATAGAATCCGTTCAGGACTTCTGGAAGTACAACAACAACACCCCCGTCGATCAGATCAAGATGCGCGAGTCCATATACCTCTTCAAGCAGGGCTTCAAGCCCATCTGGGAGGACCGCCGCAACATCAACGGTGGCGCCTGGACCTTCCGTGTGCCCAAGAACATTGGCCCCGATGTGTGGACACGCGTGCAGCTCCTTGCCATTGGCGAGAAGCTGCAGAGTGTACTAGACGACAGTATGTCGCATTCTCTCTCTCTATCTCTCCCTCTCGTCTTTATCACCCCTTTCACCACAACCGCAAGTTGGCTAATCCTTCTCTACCTGCAGACGACCAGATTTGTGGCGTTGGTCTGTCCGTCCGCTTCAACTCCCACCTCATCTCCATCTGGCACCGCGACGGCTCCAAGCAAAAATCTGTCGATGCCATCCTCGAGTGCGTACTCGAAGAACTCCCCGCCGAGCTGCGCCCCAAGGCCGACAACTACTTTTACAAGCGCCACCAGGACCACGCTGGCTTCAAGGCACCTCCCGATCTCCAGGTCGTCATCGACTCACAAAAGGCAGTTGCCGACAAGGCCAAGGCTGCGGCCGGAGAGGCGCCGGCTTAGAAGGCCGACCGCGTCCCTCCGCATTCTGCCCCCTTTTGAGGTCCTGCTGGGGTCTGAGAAGAGCTTCGCTGCGGTCTCGGGGCCAAGCAGCGTAGTTTCTGCACCTCCTCCTAGGCCTTTCTCTTCTCTGCACAAGAGGCAACCCCCAGTCAGTGACGGACGCAGTGGTGAGGAGGAACCTCACTATGTCTTCATCTCACCAAACATACGGGGAGGGGAATTTAGAAGGGGGTTTGTTTTGTTGAGCAAGTCAGGTTAAATCCGTACTCAATCTCATGGCCACGGTTATCGGTAGCGCACCGACACACAAGGGACAAGGCCGGAATAAGCATACTTCATAGGCGTTTTCTCGTTGTGCTCTTTTCTTTATCAGCATGGAAATACAAACTCCCGGGGGTGATGAAGATACCACACCCACCGATGCCATATGGGCCGCACTGAGATCAGATAGAATCATCATGACCACCAGTATTCACCAAAGTGTCCCGATGTTGCAGCATGATGCGGTTACTTGTAGATTGTGGTGCTTGAAGCCGTGAGCTCAAGGTTCCAATCACCAAAAGAGAAGCAGCCCATAGATGCTATAGCCGCGTCCCAGAAGAACAATCAAAGAAAGGAAATGTGTCGCCATTCCTTCCAAACGCCGGATACAATGGGTATAATGCAAGACCAAACCCGCCACAAAGGTCACGAAACCTCACTCAAGTCCAACCAGTGAGATAGGTCGCGCGCGAGATCACCGCCAAACCCCAGCCCGCCGCATAACCTCCTCAAACTCCTCTCTCCTGACCCCCTTGCCGACGCCCGCGCCCCCATTGGCCTCGAGGATCATATCCCGCAGCACCTCATCCTTGACATCCTCCCTAAGCACGGCAGCAACCCTCTTGAGATCCGCAATCGTTATGACATCCCTTGGCCCAGCAGCCGCCGACGACCCTCCGGCACCAGCCCCCGTAAACAGCCCAAACGCCTCCTCCACCTCCCTCCTCCTCGCTTCCCCGCCACCCCGTTCCTCTCGTTGATGGTACTTTAGCGCACACACGGCAAAAAACGGCTCGTACGCGACGAAGCCTTCGGCCTCGGGGTCCAAGATCTCAATGAACTCGGCCTGCTCGTCGCGGGAGGACGGCGGGATGCCCAGGGCGACGAGGCAGGAGCGGACGTCTGATGTGGGGATGACGCCTTCTTTGGAGTAGCCCTTGAGGGGTTCGGCGAACAAGGAAAAGGCCTCGCGGATCTCGCGCTCTTCGTGGGCAGAGATGTTGTGTTCTTTTGCGAGTTTGGAGGCGCGGGGGCGGGGGATGTCTGTTGTGTTCGAGGAGGAGGGTTTCTGGGTTGGTGGTTTGCGTTTTGCGGGCTTTGGATTTGGGTGGTTAATTTGGGGTGTTCGGGAGGGGCTTGCGAGGGGGCTCACCATTTTGGAGGACAGTTGGATGGGGTTGAGGTGTTGATGTTGTTGCGCGGATGGTTCAGTTGGCCGTAGGAAAGAAGGTTGGCGGCTTGGGAGCCTGTCGTCATGACGGGTTGCGGAGCGAAGCAAAGTGCTTGGGAGGTGAGGTCGATGACGATGGATGCGCCGGGACGAAAGAGCGCCGGGACGAAAGAGCGCCGGGACGCGTTAATGGGTTGTGGAGCAGGTCGCGCTCGTACAGTGCATAGACCATGTGCGCAGAAGGTCGCTCGCACGATAGTCCGCCCCGCCGTTGCAAAAAAATTCAACATAAAAGCTGTCGCAAGCTTTACCGATCTTCTTTTTCTTACACATCACAACCGCACGACACTCACTCATTGTGAGAGGCGTCGATTTTTCGACAATGCCACTTTCCAAAAAACCAGCTCTGGCGGCTTGCGATTGAACAGAGAGACAGCGATGATAAGCAAATCCTTTACTGGATCCTGCGCGCAAGCTTCGCTCTCTGCTTCATTTCCATCACCGATCACCTAGACATTTTCTTACAAAATCCTCTAGACCTACACAAACGTGGTCGAAGTGGACACGAGTTTACGGATCTTCCAAAACCGCCACCACACTCTTACAGGTCGAAGCTGCCTAGAGGAAGTGTGCCTCATACTCGAAAGCTCACGGCCTCCGCGCCGGAACTGCACCTAGCAAACTGGGGATTCTCAGTCCAAATCGAACCTCATGGACATGACAATCTACGGCTATTATTATGCCCTCTTCCTACGCGGCGCTTCCTACTCGGGGAGTTTCCAGCTGCAACATGCCATTGTCACCTCCGCAAGGCAACCACCACACGCCAAACAAGGCACTCCTTTCGACAGTTTTCGTTCCCAGCGGGATGAGGACAAAACCACCGTCTCCAAACATGGGAGACGTTGAACAAAACAAATACTCTTTGACAGCTTCTAAAAAATGCTAGAGCTTGCCGCTTTCATACCCAGAGCGAGCACGTGTGGACAGTGAAGCAAGATTAAACAAACGGGTGCGCGTCGCAGGACGTACCGCACCTTCCCCGGCTTACACTCTCGCTTCGATCACTTGTGGTTGTCGCGTTTAGGACCTGTGGGAGACATGCTAATAACGTGATGTGATGATTTGATATTGATAACTTTGATGTTTGTGTGAAGAGCAGTCAAAGATGTGATTGGCTATTCTTTTGATTCCAAGGGCAAGCGAGTGCTCTTGCAACACAACCATTCTCCAGCTCTGATAAAAGTGGTCTCTGGCCTAGACTTCCCGGCCTCACCTACCATGCCCCGTCATGTCAAATTTTAGAATCAGGAGGTGGACTGTCTGCGTCAGCTCCGCTCTGCTCATAGCTTTACTACCGGCCCAAATGCCATATCTTCAAGCCGGTCTACGCCGTCGGACAAAATGGCACATGGAAGCGAAAGAGTGGAAGAGAAACCTGGCCACTTACTCACTTGAAGTTATTCTTCATCTCGCGCAACTTATTCATGACGGAAACGGGCTCGCTCTCCCCCGTCACCCTCTGAATCTCGGGGTCCTATCACAACATCACCGTCGTCAGTCTCTGTGTCTCTAATGGCGAAGGTGCCTACGGAGCTCCACGGCAAAGAGGGCTTGAGGCAAACTCACCTCGACGCGCATGAAGACGTTGTGTTTCTGTTCGAAGCAGTCATTAGCTCTATATTCCCAATCTCACACTTCCACTCCCACTCCCACTCCCACTCCCACGCCCTCGCAGGGAAGAGGGGAACCCCAGGGAAACCACGCACCTTTTCATCCCCAATCGTAAACTTGCCCTGCGTCTCCTTGTTATTCTCCGCAAAAGCCTGCAGCTTCTGAATCGCCTCGTTCTGCAGCACCGACGCGGCGAACTTGACGTTGGATTTGGTGTACTCGTGGCCGGGCTTGTTTTGGTCTTCTGTCAGCAATCAAGACCGTGGTGGCTCTCTTCTTTGTCCCATTCGCCTCTTTCCTCTTCCTCCCCTTTTTCTTTGACGGTTGCAACGGGTTTCCCGTGACGGTGATGAGGGGGTTTTCAAAAAAAACCAAACTTAATAAAAAAAATTTAAAAAAAAAAAAAAAAAAAAACTTACAAACACGACCGTGTCGTCGGGCAGCGAGGCCAGGGTCTTGTTCAGCGCGCTGTGCATCTCCTCCGCGTTACCCTCGAAGAATTTGCCGCAGCCTGTCGGGTGTGAGAAGAGTCAGCAAAAGAGTCTTCGTAATTACGCCCCTTGTTTCCTCCAACACGAAACCCTCTCCATCTCAACAGCATCTTCTTTCATGATGTAAACGAGAGCCTCACTACAGCCTCAGAGGGTAGAAAAGAGGGTTCGAAAAGCAAAAAGTTGAAGAAAAAAGACAGAAGGAAGAAGGACAAACCCACCGCTGATGAAGAGCGTATCGCCCGTAAAAACAACCTTCTGATCCCCGTCCTGCATGAACCAACAGATGCTGTCCTGCGTGTGGCACGGCGTGTGCAGCGCCTTGACGGCGATGCCCTCGCCAATCTTGAACGACTCGCCGTGGCCCGGCGTCCGCGTCACGCCCTCGCAATCTTTGCCGCCGATGATGGCCAGCTTATCCAGGCCCAGCTCGCCTTGCTGTTTTTTTGAGAGGTCCAGTCAGCACAGCGAATGGCATTGTTTTCCAAAGGCACGATGACGTTTGGGTGAGAAAGGGGGATGGATGGATGCAGGGATGGCAGACGTACCAGCTTCTTGTTTCCGCCGGCGTGGTCCCAATGACTGCCAGAGAAAGTCAGATACACCCGCGTCGGTCAGCTTCCAAAGGCCAGAGAGAAAGACTCACTGGTGCGTGTTGACAATGGCCGTGAGGTTAATCTCGCCGCTCTTGATAGCCTTCTGCAACACGGGCGTCACCCTGGAAAAAACCAGCATCCGTCAGTCAAAAAGTCCCCGGACAAGACCCAACCCTCGAAGATGCTCTTCCTCCCCTGGAAGCGAACTGGAAGCGAGAACTCACTCGGACGGGTTGGCTGGGTCAATGATGACGGCGTCGTTGGTCTTGTCGTCCTTGACCAGGTAGGCGTAGTTGTTACTACTGCCCACCCCTAAAAAAACGCTCCTGTTAGCAGGAGGGGAACATAACACTGCGTCTCCCCACTCTCATTCGCATCTCTCATTCTCTCGTGGTGACCATGAAAGAGAGCATCAGAAGCTTGTGGAGGCGGGGGCAACGTACACATGGGAATCGACTGGATATGCATAGCGTTGGCGAACGTGAGCTATATCCCAACGTATTAGCTTACACACTCTCTTTCCTCTCTCACAAAATAGCCAATCAACCCGAAATGGGCCACGATGAAGAAAACTCACTGCAGCTGTTACGGTGGCGATTTTCTGTCTCAGTAGTGGTCTTCTTGCGATGAGGGTATTCATGAAAGGCAATTGTGCGTGCTAGGACAGCTGCTCCTCTGCAGTCGGGGGGATTGGAGCTGTAAGCTGTTGCGTCGGGAGCTCCTCGGCAAGTCACGGTGACGTTATTACAAATCCGCGAGGGGAGACCCCATCCAATTGCATCGTCATACCCCACGTGATGTTGCATGTGCACGATCAGCGATATCTTCACTCTAATGTCCATACTAGACGCGAGCATTTCTTCATCGATGGGATGTGTGGTGGTTGTTTAACGTATTAATATCCAAAGACGACACCCTCAGCCGCGCTCGACGATTTACGCTACGCCAATAGGACGCGGCTTCCAAGTCCCCTCAAACTTGGCCCATCCAGTGCCAGCGCTCTCAGGAGCATCATCCTCCTCCATCTCACCCTGCCCGTCTCCTCGTCCCTTTCGCAGAATGTCCTCTAATAACTGCTGAGCCGCAAGCATGACGGCCTCATTCGGCGGCGCCTCGACAATCTTATCCAGCGTCGCCAATAGCCGACTCTCGTCCAGCCCGTCAATCCATTTCCTCATCTCGGCCCTCCTCCCGGCATCCTGCTCCTCAAGAAAGGCGACCACGACTTCGCGGCGCACAGGAGCTGCAGAGACAGCAGCGGCGATGGGGACCCCGCCGCCTGCTGCTCTACTCTCGGGAGCCTGGCTGACGGCCTCATCGGGCCCCAGGTGCTGCCAGTAATACTCCCAGATCCACACCAGCGCTTTGCGCGCGGCGGAACGCAGCTTCGCGAGAGACGGCAGCGTCTCGTGCGTCGCCTGGTGCCGCAGCTCGACAAAGGTCGCCGGCAAGCCAATAGTCTTTGCCACCGAGTACATGCTCAGTTTGCGTTGCTTATCCTGATGACCGTCCAAGAGCCCAGTCACGAACCTAGACGAGAGAGTGTATAAGCAAAACAGACGATCGGCAGACGGTGACTGTGGCAGATTGAGCAATCAAGGGGTGGTGTGCCTGAGTCGGCAGAGTACCTAGGTAGGTATCCTGGAGGCTCAAGCAATGAATGACCTAGGCAAGACACTCGCAAGCCCTCAATTCGGTGGCTCTCGAACCACAACCCATTGACCACGGGGTGAGAAACGAGCTCTGGCATTCTCGACTACGGCGACGGGCCTGTAGGAGGTTTAGCATGCCTCCAGCAACCTAAGCCAAGCTTCCCCCGATGCCAGGAACGTCCGTCAGATCATAGCTCCCAAGTGCACCGCTGGCGCGAGCCGAACCAAGGTGAGACACCCAGATGCAAAACCAGGCCGGCTTGCTGGGAATTTTGGGGGGGGGGGGGGGGGGGGGGGCGTGGGCGTGCTGGTCGGCGCGGTGTGCGTGTAAGTGAAAGCCTGTATGGTGTCTGTGGCTTCCAGCAGTCGCGCAGATCAGGCGATTGTTGGTGGCCCCTTCAGACGGGACCCGACTCGGGTGTTGGTCTGGGCAGTGAGAGTGAATGGGCAAGGGGCGCTTCAACGCCAAAAGGAGAGACGGCGTCGCGGGTGATGAGAGGGGGGCGTGTGTGTTAAAGGATGAGTTAAAATGACAGAAAAGTCAAATAACGATGTGAGATGTGAAATGCGCCGAAATCCAAATGTTAGAGGTGACAAAAAAGAAAGGCGGCCCAGATCCCTGGCGGATTGGGATTGTTTCAAGCCACTCTGCAAGACTCCAAGGGCAGAAGAAGGGGAGGGGGAGGGGGCGGAAGACGGAACGTAAAACGCCCCAAGTAGACTTTCCTTTCTCACTGGCACGCCGCACGTTGAACTTGGAACCAACAAATGGCCCTTTCTGCCCTTGAGATGATGGTGGAAAACAAAAAAGAGACAAGTGACATGAGAGAGAGGAGGGAGAGGGAGAAGAGAGGGAACTCTAGAAACCCAAAAACGTACCGACTGAAAGCCGCGGCATAGGCAGCGCGGACGGCGTAGGTGCCAGCGCCGCCCTTGCTCTCGGCGTCGCTGAGGATGGCGGCCGTCAGCAGGGCCGTGGACTCGACCATGTGCGGGCAGTTGCCGCGCTGCATCCACATGGACACCCTCGCGACGGCATGGTGCTGGTCGCTGCTTGGGGTCGTCTTGCTGGTGTCGGAGCTTGTTGGTGCTGCTGGATTTGACGATGGCGTCGGCGTTGGTGCTGGTGCTGGCGCTTGTGCTTGTGCTTGTGCTTGTGCAGCCGTTCCTCGTATCGAAGGCCTTGTTGGGGTCTGGGATGCGGCGGCCGCGGACGCTGATATTGCTGCCGTACGGCTAGCTTGCGCGGGTGTGGATGTTGATGTTGATGTTGATGTTGATGCTGCTGCTGCTACCGCAGACGCTGGGGCATTGGGATAGAACTGCTGGCGAACCTTGAGCAGCTCGCGGCGATCGCGCCACGGCGTCAGGATGTACTGCACCATGGCCGGGTGTGTGTAATGTGCCGGGTGTGGTGTTTAACTGCGAGTGTGTGTGAGTGGGTGTGCGTTTTGGTGTGGTGTCTGTCTCTTCTGCGCCTGTGTTTGTTTGTGTGTGAGGAGTCTGGACGGCCAGCCGGGGAAGAGAGACCTGCTGGGTCCAATGTTGTCCTGGTGGCGTGCGTGTACGTACGGTGTATCCAGATCCGCCTCGTCAAAGGTAGCTTTCCTCGACCGGAACTGCTGTGCTTGCGCTGTGTGCTAAGGCGCCCAAAGCAAGTTCGACTCGCGCGTTCCCGTCCGTTTGTCTTCTTTCCAGGTATTGTCTGGGGGCCTTGTTCTCGCCCGTCTTGTCTGTCTAGAACTCTAGTTGACCCTCGGAGGCTTGACGACTTGGAATGTTTCAGGCCGCGTTTGTCCTCTGTGGGGGAGAGAAAAAAAGAAAGGAAAAAAAAAAGAAGAAAAAAAAGGAAGAATCCTGCCCTTTCGTTCTCTTGGTTTCGTTTCCTGGTGTCGGCGGGCGCTCGCGGCGTTTGCGTTGCGATTGAAGCTTTCTTGCGGGTTTGCGCGCATCAATAATGAACGACTGGACTCGCTCGTTTTCCCAGACAAATAACCGAGAGAGCCGAATGGAAACCCGTCTGATTCTTTCTTCTGGACCGGTCCAGTCTGATAGCGGGTTGGGTTTCAAGGTCTGGTAGAAAAAGGGAGGGACGAAAAAGACATGAGGTTGAAAAAAGTTCAGTTTTGGGGAAGCCGCAAAAATGTTCACGCTGTAAAATTCCCCGATTAGTATCGAGTAGCGGCCATCCATTTCACCACTCACGCACGACTTGACCCTCATCCCACTCACACGCCCCCCTCACTTCACTTCACTTCACTTCACTCGCACCAGCCAGAAACACAAATCAGTGGCAAGAAGCATCATTCCATTCCACGCGGTCACTCAGAACCCACCTTCGTCTCTATCCGTTGGCTCCCCGTTATTGGTCATCAGACGAAGTGAACCTCTCTTGGAAATTCCTCCAACCTTGAAATGTCACTTTAATGAGAGTTATCTGACCAGGGCACTTCGTGTGCACCTGAACTCTCTCTCATATCGGGAAGTTGAGATGAGTTACCGCCGCGTCCATTGGCCCCATCTTCACAGGCCAGACAGACAATCTGAGCATTCTCACCTCAAGTCCCCCACGCCTTCACTCGGTCGACCGAATGCTGCATGATCCGACCCTATTCTCCTCCCCAGCTTCACTTTCAAGACATGAGTAGGCAACAATGTGGGAAAATTAGGCGTAAATCAAACCAACACACATCGTGGACACGTCAAAGCGTTTTCTATTTTCCCCAATGGACAATGTCTAAACTTTTACTATGTTTCTCATCAAAGCTCAACTGCTCATGCTACTAACACGACAGCTAAACCCGGTAGGTAGGCATACACACCAACTCAAGAACCCTAAGACAAGGTCTTCTCAATGAGGTAGATGCCGTACTTGTCCTTGAGCTCCTTCATAATGGGGTCGTTGATCTTGGAGTTCATGGGCGCCAGCACACCGCGCTCGGCAATGGTGCCGTTGAGCACCTGCTGAACGGCGACACCGCAGGGCACGCCGACGAGCTTGGCCATGGCCGAGTAGCCCTTGGGCTCGCCGTACTCGGCGAGCGTCGACGTCCGCGTCTCGCGCGAGCCGTCCTTGTGCTCAATCTCAAATTTGTGCTGCAGCATGACCATGTCGCGCTCGCCCTCCTCGAACTGCATCTTCTTCTCCAGCGTCGCGCAGAGCGTGTCGAGCGGGTTGCCGCGGGGCGTAATCTTCTCGTCCGAGAAGACGCCGATCCACCGCAGCCCGCTGAGGATGCGCTGCTTGTCCTCGGGGGACTCGAACTTGGCCTTGGCGACGATGGCGGCCTCGAGGTCGCTCTCGCTGCTCGACGCGGCGCCGACGACGGCCTTGGTGGCGTCCTTCCACGCGATGGGGCTGGCGAGGGTCTCCTGGGCGGCATCCTCGAGGAAGCCAATGTCGACGAGGACCTTGATGAACTGGGGGAAGCCCTGGTAGCGGAGGGTGCCGCGGACAATGGTCTGGGCCTCGGGGATGTTGTAGCGCTCCTTGTAGGGGGTCGAGTCGCGGTTGGGGTAGGCGACGAAGGCGTAGCCCGGGTAGATGAAGTAGGGCTTGGCGGTGGCCATGAGGTCCTTGGAGGAGACGTCGACGACCTGGCCGTTCTTGTAGTACTTGGCCGCGTTGCGGAGGGCGAGCAGGACGCCGCGGGAGGACCACGAGAACTTGTAGCCGAGCGGGTTGTCCGAGGCCTCGGGGGCGGGGAGACCGCCGCAGTAGGAGAGGAAGGACAGGATCTTGCCGCCCTCGCGGTGGACCTCCTCAATGGTCTTGACGGCGTAGAGGTGGTCGATACCGGGGTCGAGACCGATCTCGTTCATGACGGTGATGCCGGCGTCCTTGGCGGCCTGGTCCAGCTCCATCATGGCGGGCGAGACATAGCTGGTGGTGACGACGTGCTTCTTCTGGCGGATGGCCGACTTGATGACGGTCGCGTGGAAGGTGTAGGGGATCAAGCTGATGACGACGTCGTGCTTGGCCACTTCGGCGTCGAGAGCCTTGTCGTCGTTGACATCGAGAGAGATGGGAGTGGCGTTCTTGACGCCCTCGGACAGCTTCTTGGCGGACTCGAGGGTTCTGCAGGCTGCGTGTTGGTGAATTGATTAGTTTTCAATGACTCCGTATATAAAAGTAGAAGACGGGGCGCCTTGATGTCTGGTTCAGACGGGTTGGGAGGAGGAGGAGGAGGAAGAGGAGGAAGAGGAAGAGGAAGAAGAGGAGGAGGAGCTCATGGTGGGAAGGGGAGCTTCGTACCAACGGTGACGGGGATTCCGGCATCGCTGAGGATGTCAAGCGTCGGCCGGGTCACGAAGCCCGCGCCGAGCATCAAAACGCTCCTATCATGATCAATGCATTAGCGACTGGATTGTTTGGCAATGAGAATTGGGAGGTGTTGGCCTTACTGGGATGCCATCTTGAAATTCAACTAGTTGATGATGGTATCGTAAGTGAATTTGGTTGTTTGGTTATTTGCAACTTTGGGATGTCTGTGTGAGTCAATCCAGGTTCCTGCAACAGCACAGCAGCGAACGAAGGAGGGGTAGCCAAAAAATGGGAACCCACCCGACTCGAATTGACAATTGACGGGAGAGAAGCCGAACTGGAGCCCAATGTTCTCTCAATGTCGTAATTCGCGATTCGTGACTCGACGGGCGAGGGAAATTTTCCAAAGCATCCATGGTGGGGTAAAAACTGCCAAGTCGATCCGATAACGGCCGTTCCCCCTCACCTCAGTGCTGGAAGTCTGCAAAAAAAAAAAAAAGGTTCACTCACTCACTTACTCACCACACACACACACAAACACAAACAACCAGAGGTGGGCAGCACAGAGAGAGAGAGAGAGGGAGGTGCATAAGCAGTATTCATATGGATACTTCGCACAGTACAGTGCCCTGGGAGAGGGAGGTGGCTGGGTGTTAGGTTGGGTGTGCGGCGTAAGGTAGGCACTGGCTGCGGTGGCTACGGTGAGGTCACCAAGAAAATTTCCAGGGGCCACGGGCGGGGTGTTTTGCGACCTGGCAGGGCTGGCCAGAACGGCGGGGGTGGGGAGCCTTCCCTCCTGGATGATTGGCCAACTGACGAAATGTGACAGGGGGAGCATGGACCCCACATGCAGCTCATGCCATGCCTCGACAGGGGTGCCGTTCGGGAGCCTCTTTTTCGCTTATTTTTAGTGTCCCCGTTGACGATTGCACTTCCAATTCCCATTCGATCCTATGTTTGGTGCAGTCGGCTTGTAATTCTTGAACTGCGTGGCGGCTGTTGCTCTGAATCGATGCACGTAGACACGCGAAGGGGCGAGGAGAAACAGATTTATGTCTTGTTTTGTTTTTCGCTTTACGCGTTTTGATTAGTTCTATCTAGGCGCTTTCATCCGCCTCTTCCTTTGCGACGCCAGGGCCACAGATTTGACCCATGCTTCTGTCTTTGGGTATTTTGTCTTTCCTTTGATCTTCCTCCCCTCTCTCTGACATGAGGAGCATGCCTAATGCTCCATAGTCCCAAAGATCCCCAGGCAACGTTTCTCGTGTTACATCTTCTTGGTATCATACATAGTCTACAGGTTGTCGTCATAAAAATCATAAAACGCTTGCGCTGGTGTTGTAATGTGTAAGAGTTGTCCTTGTGTGTTGGCCGTGTCATTAATCCGAATCCTCGCCATCGGCGTCGTCCTGGTCATCCTCATCCTCGTCGTCACTCTCAGGAGGCTGCCACGACTCTTCCAGCTTCAGGCCCTTGCCCGTACCCTCCAGAGGGCGGAAAGATGTGCCCAGGAGCGAGGACATGGCAGAACGAGACGTGTCGAGTTGCGGGTCCTGGTCGTACTTGTCGGGAGCGTCGTAGAGTCCCATGCCCACAAGGATCTCTCCCTCCTCCTCAGGCTCATCGAGGGGTTGATAAGGGATGGTGTCCTCATTTGGTACGATAGGTTGGGGCTGCTGGGCCTGCGGCAGCGTTTCGGGGGTGGGCGGAGAGGTGCTAGTGAAGCCATGCATGTGGTGCGAGTTCCAATGCGTCGAGGTGGATGATGGCGTAAGATCCGGGAGCGTAGTTGGTAGAGATGGGAAAGGCTCAGCGTAGCCGGATGTGTCTGATGAAACATAGGACGGCGGTGCTTGATGAGATACGTTCCAACCCTCAACAGGCAGGTAATTGGATCCATCATATCCTCCAAAGGGGAGTGAGAGAGGGGAGAAGGAGGCAACAGGTGAGGTGTTGCACGAGTAGGCTGCCGGTGTTGGCGGGAATTGCTGGTATACGTGATAGCTGTCCGTGTCGTATGCCGAAGTGACAGGAGGGAATGGGTATTGGGCCATGCTCTGGGGAATGGCCATCGTCTGTTGTTGGAAGGTTGAAGGGTGCCAGCTAAGGGGACGACTCGGTCGTGACTGAGATCCGTAGTCGGGCATTGGAACTTGGTCCATGGGCTGCTGCCTCCGCCTCGCCAGATTTCCATCGTTCACCACAGTCCTCCTCCTTGCCTGCATGGCTGCTGAAGATCTCGGGCTGTTGCTGGCGCTGGTGGGCTTGGCTACACGCATAGCTCCTGTGTTGCGTTGTCCGTTGGAGCCTCTAGATAGTCTCCGTGA